AGGGAAGTTGCCATTTGAGATTAGTCATAAACACTCCTGCACTGCAGGTAAAGAAGAAGGCAATCTCTTACTTAGAGCACTGCAAGCCAGTTAGGAAAGGAATTAAAATATAGGAGTTTCAGTCTGGCTACAAAACCAAGAACTTTGAAAATCAACTGTTCAACAGCTGACATTAGTGCTACCTATACAACAGAATTACAGCCACAACATCATCTTATCTGCTCTTCACAAACAATTCAGATTCGATTCATATAACCTCTACTACTTTTACCTCTTTGTTTCTAATCTTTGTGTCTTTGTCGGTATTTCTTCTCCCAGTTAGTAATGAATAAATTCCTTGTATGTTTATAATTCAGGAAGCCAGATTAAATTGACTCCTTTTAAAAAATATTGCTACATTTGTGTCTGGGAGAAAGGTATCCAAAAGGGAAGGCATCATTTTAAGATTAACTTTGTTGCAATGAATTGAGGAGTTGTGTGAATAAAGAAGAGGAGTCTGTTTATCCCATTTCACACAGTAACTTAATATTTTGGATTAATCCATCAGGAACTGTAATGAATTGGGGAATCTCATTCAAGGTCTAGGTGTAACATGGGACTTCCCATTGGTTGGTAGGCAGGTGTCCCCATTATCCATTTTAAATTCTGTCCATTGCTTCTCTTTCTATACATAGAAAATAAAAGTTTAAAAGTAAGTAAGAAAGTAACTTCCTGTTCTTTATTTGTCCGACAGAGAACTGAAAGCTTAAATGTGGACACAATAGAGGAGGGAGAAAAATGATTCCAGACTTTAAAGTTCACAAGTCATTGACACAAGCATGGACTCGAACCTGTGGCCTCAGCGTGGACTTGAACCTGTGGCCTCAGCGTGGACTCGAACCTGTGGCCTCAGCGTGGACTCGAACCTCTGGCCTCAGTGTGGACTCAGACCCCCAGCCTCAGCGTGGAATCGACTCCCAGCACACCTGGCCTCGAGGTGAAGCCTAGTGCAGTCTGGGTTGGAAGGTCTGTTATTCTGAACTCTTATTTCTCTACTTTTCTTATTTATTGCTGGACTTTTTATTTCTTTATTTTTCTAATTTCTTTCCCGTAAGAATTTGTACTTAAGAATCTGTACCTAGATACCTTAGTGCCTAAGATGGCACCTTAAGTGGCGACTTGTAAACTTTCCACTGTACTTCTGTGAGTGCATGTGACAATAAAGCTAATTCTAATTTGGTAATTTCCTCATCATTAGCAAATAAGCTTTTATTGACCTCAGCGCCTCAACTGGAAATTCTCATCTTTGTGTTCAAATCCCTAGACGGCCTTACACTTCTGTAGCTTTGTGGTCTTCTTGCATCTGACAATCCTGGAGAACATGGTATTGTCCTTTCTCTGATCTGTGTATCCCCACTTCTTTGCTCAACCATTGGTGGCCATTCTTTTCGCTGTCTAAGCCACAAAGTTTGGAATTCTGTCTGCAAACCCCTTTGTCTCTCCGCTTCTATCCTCCTTTAGGTCACTGTTTAAAACCCAGCTTGTTTTCCGAGTCATTGTTCACTTATTCCAAGAACTTCACCATTGACGCAATCTTGATTTTCAATTGACTATTTGCCTGTGAAGTGCTTTGCGATGTTTCACTAATCATGGAATTTTTATGCTATAGTGAGAGGCCATTTAGCCAATTTAGTTTATTAGAACAAAAGTTGCTGAATCAATGCAAATTGTTATTCTTGGTTGTGGTGATGTGCAAAATTTCTATTTTGTGCCCTTAAAGAGATAAGGCTGATCCACAGTTCTGTTTGGACAACAGGATAATTTTGTAAACATTTCACAGTATAACTCCCTTATCATTTTAAAATAATATAAGCATCTGACTTATTGTGATCAATGACACTGAAGAGCTGATATTATAGAATGATTGTGTGGCGAGTATAATTATGGAAATGAACATCTAATCCCTCCTTGTAAGGATCAGGGGAATCATGATTAATGGATTGTAATTAAAACAATCAGAGTTTGCAAAATAAATACAGAGAGGAGACGATTTGGCCCAACATATTTCATTCCTTGAGATAAGACCCACAATCGCCCATCATTCCCTTATACACTTAATGGTCAGGTCCTGAGGAGTGTTGCTGAACAAAGAGACTTTGAGGTGCAGGTTCATAGATCCTTGCAAGTGGAGTCCCAGGTAGATAGCATTGTGAAGACTGTGTTTGGTATGCTTGCTTTATTGGTCTGTGCATTGAGTATAGGAGTCGGGACGTCATGTTGTGGCTGTACAGGACATTCGTTAGGCCACTTTTTGGAATACTGTGTGCAGTTCTGGTCTCCCTGCTATAGGATGTTGTGAAACTTTAAAGGGTTCATAAAAGATTTACAAAGATGTTGCCAGGGCTGGAGGGTTTGAGCTATATAGAGAGGCTGAATAGGCTGGGGCTATTTTCTCTGGAGCATCGGAGGCTTTAGGGGTGACCTTATAGAGGCTTATAAAATTATGAGAGGTACGGATAGGGTGAATAGCCAAGGTCTTTTCCCCGGGGTAGGGGAGTCCAAAACTAGAGGACATAGGTTTAAGTTGAGAGGGGAAAGACTTAAAAGGAACCTAAGGAGTAACATTTTCACACAAAGGGTGGTGTACATATCGAATCAGCTGCTCGAGGAAGTGGTTGAGGCTAGTACAATAAGGCATTTGGATGGGGTCTATGAATAGGAAGGGTTTAGAGCGATATGGGTCAAATACTGGCAAATGAGACTAGATTAATGTAGGATATCTGGTTGGCATGGACGCATTGGACTGGTGGGTTTGTTTCTCTGCTGTACATTTCTATGGCTCTATGTTTCTGCTGTTTGCAAAATATTACCAAGCATTTTGCTGCCACCACTAAAGTGGAAATCCATTCCATGTATTGATCATTCTGAAGAAATTTTAGCATAAAAATTAAATCTGCCTCCTACTTAGCCATGTCCTTACAAGGATTTCCTAAGTTTCTCAAGTTAGTCTTCAAAGTTCAACCCACTGATGCTGCAGGACCATGTGCCCTCTGGATTAAAGTTTCAATTCAGTTCAAGGTTCTCATTTTAATATCTCTTCACACGGGTTGAATTTGGACAATTATTGAAGTTGTTATTTTGGTAATAATGGTGATTGGAACGATGCTTTGAGTCTGGAGGGGGTGTTTTTAAGTTGAAGTACAGCATTGAATATAATCCTTTTATTGATGTAGTTTGATGTTTCAGCCAATGTGTGGAGCTCTTTTTATTCTGATCTCAGCACTGAGATCTTTCAGGAGAATGGTTGCAGTTTGACAGGAGGATTAATAAAGTGGATGGACACAGCACTGAAACTACCCTAGTTGAAGTTACTATTGATATTGTCTGCAAAAATTATCAGCAGTATAGTTTTGAGCTTTCTTTCTGACGCCTCTAACCCTGTGTAAGACTGTCTATTGCTTATCCAGTCATAGCCAGTGAATCTGCTGCAATGGCTTGTATTCCTAAGCAAGCAGCATTAACATTTGAATGCCCGGAGATATACCCTTGGCTTCTCCTGTTTCTCAACTACCAGAGGATTCTAGAATGTTACAGAACAGAAGGCTGTGCTGTTCCTTTGGAGGGGTTATCCAATTTGTCAAAATCTCTTTCTCTTTCTTCATTGTTCTGCTTCATTTTCAAATACAGTGTGTATCCAGTTTGCTAATCAATATCATTTGTAGGCATAAATTCCAGTTTTGCATGTATGTTGACTAAACTCCAGCTTTACCTCCCCAACGACCTCTCTTGACCCATTCGTTATCTCTGAAATGCCTGTTCAAAAACCAACTGGTGAGCTGTTCCAATTAAACATTGAGAAAATGAAGGCCATTGCCTTTAGCTCCTGCTGTAGGTTTTGTTCTCCACGAGTAATTTCAAGGTCCCCTTGACCATTGCCTTAGGCAAAACCAAACTGCTTGCAAACTTGATTCCTTGTTTGATCCTGAGCTGAGCATGTGATCCTATATAGATATCACAGTGTGGAGCTGGAGGAACACAGCAGGCCAGGCAGCATCAGAGGAGCAGGAAAGCTGACGTTTCAGGTCGAGACCCTTCTTCAGAAATGCTCTCCATCACAAAGACATTCTTTTTTTGCATTCTTAGAATCTTAGATTTAGCTTTGTTGTCACATGAGTACAGTGAAATGTTTACAAGTCACCACTTACAGTGCCATCCTAGGCACAAAGGTGTCTAGGTACAGATTCTTATGTATAAATTCTTAGGGAAAAAATACTTTTAAAAAAAGAAAGAAATAAAATGTCCAGCATTACAGATCATAGGAATAAATTAGAAAAAGAATAAAGAAATAAAATGTTCAGAATAACAGTCCTTCCAACCCAGTCCACTCCGACTAGCCTCCAGTCCATGCTGGGCCTTGACTCCAGGAGATTATTCTTGAATTATCTCGAGCTTGGTAGTCCACGCTGGGCCAAGAGACCATCACAACGGGCTGAGAAACCATCATGCCGGGCCAACAGATTGCCGCGCCTGGCCTGTGCTGAGGCTGGGAGTTCAGGACATTGCTGAGATGAAATTCATAAGCAGTCTGTTATCTCTGCCTTAGCTTCATGGTTGTTGTAACGCTTCTCCATCTCTTTCTTACCTCTGGACTCTCACTCAGTGGACTCCAGGGGGTTTTTCTTTTGTTTCAATCCTAAAACCACATGCCTCTACCCTTATCTAAATCAGGAGTCCACCCAATCCCTCTTTGAACACTTCTCCAGGATTAATTACTCTGAAGTAGCAGGTTCATTTCCTAGATATGAGTTATTGCTCAGGTTAGGTCACCTTAAAATTGTCACCTCTGTTTCTTCTGTCCAAGTTTGGTGCATATTACCATCTTACATACAATTTATTGATTTTCCGTTTTGGTTTATAAGCAATGAATCACATCCGGCCAAAATCTTCTCCCTTCTTAAGCTGATGCAGTAAACAATAAATTGCACACACAAAAAAAAGACTTGATCATTTGATATAGGAAAATTATGTTTTTTTTATGTTTATATGCACCTGAAAGTATTCTTTCAGTTAAACATACAGATCATGGTTGTGCATATTTTTTTTCCACCACACAACTATGTGTAAACTACATCTGCAAGAGAAAACAGTTTGAAAACATTTTTTGAACTATTTTGAAAATATCACATGTGCAGGGGTGTGTCCATTCAAGATTGACCTTTGAAGTCCCAATAATCATTGTTTTCACTTTTAGGTTTAATGCTTTGAGCTAGATCATAATGCAAGAATTCTCCATCAATAGATGATTAATGTTCCTTCTTTCTGTAATATATAGAATTGTAGTTATTTGTTAATAGCTAGACTACATCATCAATGATATCAAATCACGTGGATTGTGTCTTGATTGAAGAATTCTTAGCAAAGCTCTGCTCTACTATAATTCTGAATGCTATTTAATGTCAGAAAAGGTGACTCATTTGCATGAGTCTAGTCCAGTGCTCATCTGTCCAAAGCTCTCCAAAGTTATAGAATCATACAGCACAGAAACACACTCTTAGATCCAACCAGTCCATGCTGACCATAATCCCAAACTAAACTAGTCCCACCTGCCTGTGTTTGACCTATATCCCTCCAAACATTTCTTATTGACTTACTTATCTAAATATCCTTTAAACGTTGTAACTGTACCTGCATCCACCACTTCTTCAGGAAGTTCTCTTCACACACAAGCCACTCTGTGTAAAAAAAATTGCCCCTCAATTAGGTTAAGAATATTTATAGATTTCACAGTTCACCTTAATTTGCCTAACTTTTTAATGTTTGTTCTCTATATCTTCAATCTCAAGAATCACACCAGTTACCTTTTGAATCCATTTATATTATGCTTCAAGATCCTTCCTCATTAACTTAATCCATTCCTTTATTATCCTGTTATTCAATATGTCCTGCCTGATGTCTCTTGTTAACTCTACCTTCCTAAAGTTTAAAGTTTCCCCCTTCCCAACTCCATTCTAATTTGGTACCCCTACCACACCTTCCCTCCCCTTCTGTTGTTGTTGCACTGCACCCATTGGACAGAGCTTGTAACTTGTTTTTTGTCAGTCCAAAACACAGGAGATTTAGTCGTGGAGAAACAAAATTTAAACAGGAGATTTGGTGATGGTAAACAGAAGTGTTCAAAGGTGAAAAAAGCATCCCTGGATAGACAAAAAAAATTAAAAGCATGTGAACAAAGAAAATATAAAGTTTAAAGTGTCCTTTGCTATTCGAACCCTTCACCATTGTGAATAAAATTGATATCCATTAACTTTCTTATACCTTTCATAATGTTGAACATTCACCATTCCCTCAAAGAAAATCCAGACTTTATTTTCATAGATTTCCTACAGTGCAAAAGCAGGCCATTCAGCCCATCATGTCCACACTGACCCTCCAAATAGCATCCCACCCCATCCCTGTATTTTCCATGGCCAAGCCAACCTAACCTGTACATCTTTGAACTGTGGCAAGAAACTAGAGCACCCAGAGGAAACCCACGCAAAAATGGAGAGAATGTACAAACTCCATACAGACAGTCACTTGAGGGTGTAAGTGATCCCAGGTTGCTGGCACTGTGAGGCAGCAGTGCGAACCACTGAACCATCGTGCCGCCCTTGAACAGTGTTGAACAATTTCCTTTTATCTTCAGTTGCTGATACTTGAAGCCATCATTGTTGTTTACTTCTGTACCCTTGTCATATCTTGACTGATTTTGCCTGATCTGCAATGCATTTTCAGCATTTTGTCTATTTGGGATTGAAAATAACTTGTGAAAATTTGAAATAAGTTTAATTTGACTGTACTTTCTGTAATTTGCAATTTGAAATGATTTATCCTCAGATTATACAGTTGATATTGAACGGATATTGTAAATATTCGGAGCATTACAATTGCTTTCTGGTGTCCAAGGATGGTACATGCTGTATGGGGATGAGTTGAATTTTATTACGCTTTCTGCAATTTTCAAGTTGAAATGTTTTGTAATGTACTTTTACAAATGCTATGAATAAAGTATATTTTTAGAAAAAAATTCAATTCTACTACAATAATTAATGCATTTATTCATATATCCTTCTTGGAATTACTTTGCAGGTGAAAATGTTACGACGATTGTACTCATTAGTTGCAGGCCTCTGGTGGATAGTAAGGTCTACATGTGAACAGCAAATTCTGCTGCAGTGGTGCCAATGAAGGTGTGGTCACTATTGGATACTCTAGTTCTCTGTCACGCATATTCATACATATGCTCACAAATACATATCAGTAGAAACACTGAAACATATACAATGATGTGCATGTGTATGAACATATTTACACTTAAGGATATCTCATTTGGAAGCACATTTGCCTCTGAGTCATAAGATTTTGGGCTCAAGTCCCACTCCAGAACTTTGGCACCAAAGTCAAAGCTGCCATTCTCAGGTGGTATTAAGGGTGATGCCTGTCAAATAAGACATTAATCTAAAGTCTTGTCTGCAGTCTCAGGTGAACTTACAACCTCTCAGGACCGTATCCCTTAATCACAAAAAGAACAAATTTATTGATCATAAACCACGTCCTTATTTTATGAGACCTTGCTGCCAGCAATATTCCCGGCTGCAATTCCTACATCACAACAATGGCTACACGTCAAAAGTACTTCAACTCTCTGTAGAGCAGACTTCCTGTGGTTGTGAAAGGCGCTATACAAATGAAAAGTTTTTTCCTCCAAATATACACACATAATGCATTGAAGTATAAACACCTTTGTGAAGATGCGCATATGCAGTCAGATATCTACATGATCAACTCTGAAATATTGGAAACGCACGATTACATCTGTTTTCCCCCCGGTGCAGAGTAACAAAGTGAGACTCACAAGAGATGCAGATACGGGGGGTGCACGAGCACGACGGGGGCAAGCGGGATGACGGGGACGCGCTCGGGCGCCCAGAACTGGGTGACAGCGGTAGCGCGCGTCCCCAGAGCGACGGCGGGGGACGCGGGCAGAGAGAGACGGGAGCGAGCGCGCTCGCGGGCACGCTGCAGCCGCTTGCCTCCTGCTTCTTGTCTTTGTTTCCAGCGCCCACCCTCCCCGTCCCCCCGGGTTTATTTATTTTCTTTGTGGTGTGGGGTTAGGAGGAGGGGGCAGCGATGTTGGGGCTATTCCCCCCTTTACCCCGGGGCTGCGGGACCACTGCTACCGCCCCCAGTGAGCAGAGTCCGGGCGTAGAGCGAGCGGAGAGGCGCCGCTAACCTTCCGCTATCCGCAGCCTCTCTCTCTCTCTGTCACACACACACACACACACACAGAGAGAGAGAGAGCGCAGCCATGGGCTTCCTCCACCAGCTACATCTCCTACTCTGGAAGAACATCACCCTGAAACGCCGGAGCCCGGTGAGTGACTTCTCCCCCAACCCCCCCCACTTCTTGTTTTAAAACAAAAATAAAAATAAACCCTCGGTCTGCAGCTTTTCTGTAAGGGGAATCCGTCTGGTCATTGCTGGTGGGTTCAGCTTCCTGATTGAGGGAGGGTTTCTGTTCTGACAGAATGCCCCCGCACAGTCTCCCAGACATTCCCTCCTGACCCGGGAGTTCGTCTTCCCTCCCTCCCGAAGTTTCTTCCCGTTGGCCTGGGGAAAGCAGACCCAGCTGCTGGTTACATTGTGCTAGCGCCTGTCTGCCTGCAGGGAGATACACTTCTGTCACTACGCACTTCAGCATCTATACTCGAGCGGTGCAATGCATTTGTCCGTGGCCCTCAACTGGAAATATATAAAAAAGCGCTTCCAGTTGCCAGACGTTATAAATATAATACGGCTTTGAGCGTGTCTGCCTGGGTTTGACCAGTGCCTGGGATAGACTAGTAACTGTGACATGGCCATCTTTTTGAGGCTTCAGCGTTAACCCTTTCCTAGTTTTGTACCAAACGTCAGACCTTTCGTAACAGTCAACAGTTGAGTTAAATCTGTGCTCGGGGGTAATGCTTAATAAGTGTTGTCGTAGTATTAACAAACTGCATCTCTACAGAGCAGGCAATCTGACTTGATGGTGGGGCAATTTCTCAGTGTTTTTTCAGGGCATAAGGTAGTAATTGGTGGTCATCATAAGACATAGGAGCAGAAATTAGGCCATTCGGCCCATCAAGTCCGCTCTGCCGTTCAATCATGGCTGATAAGTTCCTCAACCCCATTCTCCTGCTTTCTCCCCCTAACCCTTGATCCCCTTAATAATCAACAACGTATCATTTTTGTTTTTGTTTGCCAATCACTATTTCGCTTGGAAGCAGGGAGGGAGACGGAGAGACTTTTTGACTTCATTGGTTCTTAGCAGCATGAATTGCTTTGCTATCCACATTAAACACGGGAGCAGAAATGCAGTCTCAATGTACCAATCCATTAATCAATAACACTGGGCATGATCAATAAAATATGTGATACAACAGCATTGGACTCAAAATGTAATAGCCCTTTGGTGTACTATGTTTATTTGCTTGTTCACTGGTCCGTAGCCTGCTGGATAACATTGGCTAGGGTCGATGCACGTTATAGTAATCGTGTGATTTAAATTGCTGGCGAGCTTGCATTTTGCAATTGTGTTGTGATTTTTACCACTTTCTGGTTTGCACCTTATGCTAACTGTAGAACACTTGTGATTTAGTCAGAAGGTTGTGAATGCAAGCCCCAAATGAGAGACTTGAGTATGTAATTCAGAGCGACATTGCAAAGTAGGACTGTTGAGCTGCTTCCTGTCGGATGTTCTGCCTTACAGGTGAATCATTGAACTGAGTTTCCATCTTGGGCCTTGGCCAACATTTATCCCTCAACCAACTTCACTAAAACACATTATCTGGACATTTTATGGTAGCTTGCTGTACACAATTTGTCTCTTGTGTTTCATAGATGGCAACAATAAGATGAATCGAAAAAGTGCATTATTGTGCACTTTGGGGCATCCTCAGGTTGTGAAAGGTGCTATAAGAATGTACATTCTTCTTCATCAGTAACACATTTGGCGTCCTTGAATGTTACAATACCAGCTGTAGAATTCAAAGAGATGGAACAGGAAGATGGAAAAACTGACTTGTATCAAGTTCTTGCAAGTTCTGGCCCTTTCTTGGAAAGGCCATCGGAACAATGTCTACATGGTTGCCTGCAGTGGTCTATGTTTTATTTTTAAAAAACCTGTTTGTGTGAAGAATGTTTAAAATTTTAAATTGGAGGTACATTTGCTCATTTGGAGCCAGGTGTAAAAATTAACTTGAAGATATATCTAAGACAAGTGAATATAATGGAGCAGAGTTGGATTTGAGAGACCCAACAGTAAAACTTCTGAAAAAGTGTGTAATTTTTCAGTCGATTTAATGATGGCTTCAAACAATATTGAAACTGTGAAACTATTTTGAGTTGCATTACAGCCTTTCTCAACGGCTGTGTCAGTTAAATATATCGTAGTGTCAGCTGTGACCCAACGAGTAGCACACTTGCCTTCGATCTGAAAGTTGTGGGTAAAAATCCAGCATTTGGGCATAACACTAGGGGTGTGTGGGAAGTTTCATGCTTTGCATGAGACATTGTTGAGGCATTGTCTTTCGATATAAAATACCTGATGGCTGTTTTTATAAATACTTCAAATATAGCAAAGGAATGGTGACTATGTTCATAATCATTGTTGATAGTTGAATGTATGAGCACATGTATTACACTTGGGGAAAGAACCCCAAAAATAAGAGACCTAAGGGTGCAGGTGCACAGATCCTTGAAAGTGGAGTTGCAGGTCGACAGGATGGTGAAGAAGGCGTTTAGTACACTTGCTTTTATTGGTCAGTGAATTGAGCATAGGAGTTGGGAGGTCATGTTGCGGCTGTACCTCAGAGTGACCCCATGGTTAGTCTCCGACTGTTACCAGGGGGAGAGACAGACTCAGCTAGGGAATGAAGTTTGGAGCAGGAACCAAAAATAGCGTCTTCAGTCTTCACAAAATAAAACTGCAGTAAAATTCTGATCATCCAATGTTGGATGTCTGATAAGCAACCTGACTGCAGAGTCAGAATGGAAGAGTCCAGATCAATGCTTGTGAGGTCAAGCTGGGTGTCATCAGTGTATGTGTGAAAACTGATTCTGGCTTCTGATGGTATCAAAGGATAGCATGTATATGAGAAACTAGAACGGCTAAGGATCCATGCTTATTAGAGATTATAAGAACTGCTGTTGCTGGAGTCAGAGATAAGTGTAGAGCTGGATGAACACAGCAGGCCAGGCAGCGTCAGAGGAGCAGGAACGCTGACGTTTCAGGTCGGGACCCTTCTTCAGAAATTTCTGTGTTCTGCCTGCTGTGTTCCTCCAGCTCCACACTGTGTCATGCTTGTTAGAGGGTGGGCAGCAGACGTAATGGTGCAAGAGCTGGAAGAGAAGTCATTGCCTATAGTTCTCTGGTTATGAATAGATAGAAATGAACAGAGCCGGGGTAGAGCAGTTCCAGCCAGCTATATGACTGTTTGAGAAGGATAAGGAAGGAAAGCATACTTTTGTTATCATCACACAGAATGTCATTTACATTGTGCATTCGTGTAGCACATTTCACAATTTGCAGACATGCTACAATACCTTAGCCGTTGAGGGTTTTGTTTTTTAAAGTGTAATCTGGTTTAGGAAATGCAGCAGTCAGTTTGCACACGCAAGACAGTATTGAATCTGTCTCGCAGTAATTATTGACATATAAGTATGAGGACAACAGGGGGAGATGCCCACTTTTTTAGGCAGTGGCTAGTATCACTATAGAATATCCAACATTCTTGCACCAATTGTACAATATCCTGATTATTTGAACGTTTTAATGGGACAAAATGTTGCATGACACAAGACCTCATAATATTGCCTATTGTTGGCAACATTTGATGTTCTCAGTAAAGAAGTGCTCTTTCTTTCAGCTGTTATCTGTATTGTGCTTCTTTTCATTGTTGTACCTATAGTATTACTAAATTGCACGTGCAAATGCAAGTTTGGGCCTCTGAATTATCAAGCAGACTCCAACATCCTGTTGTATGAGGGGTGATTGGAGTTTGATCTGTTGGTCTCTGTGTTTTGCAGTGAGCTCAAGTGTTAATATAAATTGATTGTGCTCGTTATATCAAACAGCAACTTAGAGAAGATGTGAAAATGTTAATTTGAGCCCATTGTTAAAATACAGTTTTGTGACTATAGTTTAAATATATGATAAGAATCTAGGAAATGGGAGCTGGAATAAGGTTGAACCTACTTCATCATAAGATCTTGGCCAAACTTCTACATTAATGCTACTTTCCTGCCTTTTCATCAAATCCCATGAATTCCCTTAACGTTCAAAAATCTACCAATCTCTGCATCAATTATACCTAACAAATAAACGTCTGCAGCCCTAGGGAGGAGAGAGAATTCCAAAGATTGACAGTCCTCTGAGTGGAGATATTTCCCATCATATTAGTGCTAAAAGACCCATTCCTTTTCCCGATCCCTCATCCTACAGTTCCCAGCCATGAGAAAGAGCCTCTCAGTGCCTTCCCTGTTAAATCCTATGGAAGTTTTATACTTCTCGGAAATGTCTGTAATTGATGATTATAGGCCCATTCTACTCAATCTATTCTCAAGTGACAACCCTCTAACTCCAAGACTTAACCCGATGAATTTTTGTTGCACCCTCTCTCCTTTTTAAAAAAACAGCAATCTTCCTCTTGGTAAGGAGAGTTAATCCCTACATAATTACTGGAAGACTTCCTTTTTTTTCATATAATTCAACTTCGTTGAGGGCGCACACTATTTTCTTTACTGTTTTCTCATTGTGTGTTAATTTTATAGTATATTAACTTTTTGTGATTTGTGTACAAGAACTTCCATGTTTGAGTAGCGACGTTCACTAGTCTCTGACCTTCTGAAATTTAGTCTGCCAACCAAACCTGATAATTTAATATCTCCCACCTTGTCTACTCATTCGTCTTGATCTGTTAGCAGCCTTTTCACTTCCTCCTCACAGCCTACATTTTCACTAAGCTTTTGTATTGGCAGCAAGCCTGAATGCATTAAACTTGGTCACCTCACTGAAGTGACTGATTGTGGAAAATCAGGGGATGTCAAGGTAGCCACGAAGAAATCAAGTGGAGAAATTATGAAAGCCATGATTATGCAGCGAGTGGAGAGCATTTGGGACTCGCTACAGGAACTGATTGAGAAGAATTGTGTCAGTGTATTTAAAAACACGATCAAAAACGATATGAGGAAGGAGAGAATAGTTATGCCGATAGTTTAAAGAGAAAGGGTTAAAATAGAATGTGGAATAGAATATAAATAACAGCATGGGTTGATTGGGCTGAATAGCTTATTTTTGTATTGTATCTCCTGAGTAATTGCAATAAATATAACTGT